AATAATGGAATAAATCTAAAACGAAAGTTAATTTTCTTTAATATTTTTATTATATGAAATGCAAAATTAAAATAATCCTTCACGCAGTCTTGCGTCAGTAGATTAATATTCTTGATTTAGAATAGTCAATCTTTTATTTGAGAGTTTAATAATGTAATGTCAACAAATGTTAGTCTGTTTACATTAGGATGGATGCAATGCAAAAAAAAAAAAAAAAAAAACTCACTGAATATATAAATATATTCAGTATTGGGCGATAATTTATTTATATATACAGGGTACATTCGGTTGTGTACATCACACTGGCTTTTTACATTCTTGCAAAGCCTCAAACACGGAAAGTGTTACAGACAGGTCCTTAATCTAACGAAATTATTAATAGGTACATTGTACTGTAGAAAATTTGCGTTTATCATAATAATTACGACATAGGTTAATTGTGATTACAATAAAGTTGCACGTTTTTAAGCATAGAGGAATGGAAATAAGTTTATTGAGGTAAATAACACACAAAGGGATGAGGTAGCTCAAGCTATTCTCACCCCGTTCAGTACATCGTGTTAATACATGCATAGACACACATCACAAACAATAAACGTATTACCGAACATTGAGAGATAAACATATACATTTCCTACATACAGAGAGTGAAGCACAAAGTAGAAAACTACGAGGATGAAAAACAACGAGGATTTTGGTTTTACTTTTTATAAGGCATAGGTTGGGCAGCTTTATTTATTTATTAAGGAGTGAGCTCCATAGACTAGGTCCTTTATTTGCATAATGTGTTTACAAATTTACATTGGCTCTGGGGATATCAACAAGAGAGTCATTTCTGGTGTGGTGCTCATGGGTTCTATTACATGTCAAGGAAGAATTTCAGATCAGGATTAGCATTCGGGAACAAGGTTTTATTAACATAAATAGCAAGTAAATAGCACAATCCCAGCGTAGTAGTCGTGCAATGGTTCCAACTTTAGAGGAAACTAGATTGTTTCCTTCAAGGAGTGCCGGACCAACCGGGCTGTGGTGGGTATGTGGCCCTGCGGGCCGCTCCAAGCAACAGCCTGCTGGACCAAGCTCTCAAGTCAAGCCTGGCTTCGGGCTGGGCTTGGGGGAGTAGAAGAACTCCCAGAACCCCATCAACCAGGTATCTTCACTATCCTCGGGGCAACACGTGTTCCAGCAACGTTGAAACAGCGATGATTCAACTCGAGTCTTCGTCCTTTTCGCAATGTGTGGCCACTGGAAAGAGCCTTTCTGGTCGTCGTACTCTTCACATACCTAGAAAAGAAAAAACATTCATGTAACATACGCAACAGAAATGTCCAAAAAGTGCCTCGTTAGTGTCCCTACTGTCATATATAAACCAGCTACAAACATGGAATATTACACATGCAACCAAAACTGTTGTGTTGCAGTGGCACGCATATAACATATTTATTGAGGATATATAATACGCGTGTCCTGAAACATTGATGATTTCAGGACATGGTCCTATTTTCCCCCGTTTTCCTATACATTCTGGATGATTAAACTATATTATTTAAGGATAAATAACTTAATTTTGTGTGTCAGGGAACAAGCCGGTAGTATACACAGTACACGTTAGGCTTGTATTAAGACTCCCTGCCTCAGGGTCCATACCCCCCAACTGGGCGGCAGTTTTACACATGTGCTCCACACCCACCCAACTGGGCGGCAGTTTTACACATGTGCTCCACACCCACCCAACTGGGCGGCAGCTTTACACATGTGCTCCACACCCACCCAACTGGGCGGCAGCTTTACAGTCATGTGCTCCACACCCACCCAACTGGGAGGCAGCTTTACAGTCGTGTGCTCCACACCCACCCAACTGGGAGGCAGCTTTACAGTCGTGTGCTCCACACCCACCCAACTGGGCGGCAGCTTTACAGTCATGTGCAGGCTGCACATTAAGCAAACTTGGATACTTCGCTAAGATTCCCGGCAGCACATCATTATGAATGAAGTACTTACACATTTCATGGACACCATTGATGGTGTTATCTGTGAATTTCACGATTTTTCACATAGCATTATATGAATTTATCAATGCACAAAAAAATTTGTCCAAATTCATTATTTAAAGGAATTTGGCTTATTCGACTGATCTGCCTAAAAATGACAACTTAAATAGGTTTATTATTCTTCAAAACTGCCTACTGTAGGTAAAAAGTCAAATTTAATTTAAAGGCAGCTAATTTCGAAAGCAGTCTTTGAAAATATACAAATTCACTCCGGCAAAACTGGCCTTGCTTACTAAACCTAGTAGCGGGGTTCTAACATATAGTATAATGTGTTATACTTATTATACTATATACTAATATATAGTATGTGTTATACATGCACATATATATATTTATAAATACATGCATACATATCAATATGTATAACAGGGGGGGGGTAGAAATAGCCTAAGCTACCCTATCCCTTTGAGATGTATTTCTTTCTTGTCTCAATAAACATAGTTGAACTTGTATAACACACAATTCGCACTACACCAATAAGTTTCTCCCTAAAAAGTACTACACTCCTACACATGTATATACAAAATATAAGACAAACACAATCAGTATTTAAAAAAAAACCAGCTTCACTCACCATAGGCTTCACACATGCAGACTGCAAGCATGGACACCTGCCGGCCGAAGGGTTTGCCACCGACCAACAGCTGTAGACGTGTCGACGTTCTTCACAACACGGGAGACTCCAGCAGGTGTGTCTTAGGTACGGGAGACTCCAGCAGGTGTGTCTTAGGTACGGGAGACTCCAGCAGGTGTGTCTTAGGTACGGGAGACTCCAGCAGGTGTGTCTCAGGTGCTGCCAGTGATCTTACTCAGTGTTGCATCATCATTTATCAACACTTGATGTAACACACACCTGTAAAAATACAATGCAGTTGTAATTTCTAAAATTGGCAAAATATAGTACATATATTAGTGAAGTAAAGTGAATTTGAATACATTGATAAGGAGAGTTTACGGGATTTAGGCTTTGATAGTCCCGCTCCAAGCAACAGCCTGTTGAACCAAGCTCTCACAAGGATCCGAGAGCTAGCCTTGGAGGATGATTTGAATCATGTTCATGTGATTTTGTTGTGCATTTAAAGAGAGAGGCATTAGAGATGGAACTTCTGGACCATACATAGCCAGAGTGCATGGGAGTAATGAGTGAAACCAGATTAGGCTTCAATGTAAGCCTCACGACCCCTAGAGGATTCAGTTGAATCCCAGGTAGCATTGCTTTCCACCATGTGATGGTGTAGTGATATACGCTGTGTGCTTGGGAGCACCCAGAGCATAGGTTTTAATCTTTACGGCTCCTGACTTTCTAATATTATTAAACTAAAATTATTATATGTTGGGTACTTTTCCTCTGTTGTCATATCCCTTCAAAGTCATATATTATGATGCAGGTTTAGAGCAGTCTAGCATGATAATCAATCATTATTTGTTGGGAACGCTGTGCCTAAGTATAAATTGGAAGAGATTGCCAAGTTACTCACTACTGAGGACTACAAGATTAAGCCAAGAAATGCCAGCTCACACCACCTGCTACTCCAGCCAGCCGAATACAGAACAAGGCTGCCAGCTCCATGACTAGCTAAAACTTAATCCTATTTGTATGCACAAGGGTTATAAACACGGAGACGGCGAGAGGTGTGTGTCCCGCTTCTTGCTGAATATACACAATATACTTGCTGCTTGGTCTTTTGTGGTTTTCTTAATAACTCTCCCGCAGATGATAGGCCTTAAGACCAATACCGAATCAATCCTCCTTTTCTCGTATTAAATTTCCCTCTGTCTCCAAGGTGGCGAAGTGAGCTTCAAGGAAACATGTTATTTACCGACGCACGTTGAAAATGTTCAACATCCTTCCCAAATTAAGATAAATATAAAAAATAAAGAAGAGGACTCTTGCTAAACTCATGCTGTAACCAGAAAATACTCAAACACGCACGCACACAGAGACAGTAGAAAGAACTTTTTCAGTGTCAGAGTAGTTAACAAATGGAATGCATTAGGCAGTAATGTGGTGGAGGCTGACTCCATACACAGTTTCAAATGTAACCTAACCCCCCCATTCCCCCGCCTGGTGACCCTCCCTCCTTGTAACCCCCCCCTCCCAGTAACCCCCCTCCCAGAAACCCCCCCCTCCCAGTAACCCCCCCCCCTCCCAGTAACCCCCCCCTCCCAGTAAACCCCCCCCAGTAACCCCCATTCCCCTCCTCCCCTCCCCCCATTCAGACTCGTATATCTACTGCTATAATAGCCTGAATGGCAGGTAAACATACCTCGTTAAGCTGGTTCCTGTAGTGGGTCTTGTAGTGCACTTGTGGTATACAGCCGCCACCGCCGTAGCCTCCGCCACCACCGCCAAATCCACCACCACCACCGAAGCCGCCACCTCCAAAGCCTCCACCACCGAAGCCGCCACCTCCAAAGCCTCCACCACCGTAGCCACCGCCTCCAAAGCCTCCACCACCGTAGCCACCGCCTCCAAAGCCTCCACCACCGTAGCCACCGCCTCCAAAGCCGCCTCCGAACCCAACTGGGGCCTTCTCAGCCTAGGCCCCTAACGCCAGGGCCAGGGCCACCAGTACTGCCACGACTCCAGCCATGGTCTGTGGGAAGAGATATATATATAGATATATACACACACACATTAGTACTCACAAATACGTTAGAAAGAACTTTTTCAGTGTCAGAGTAGTTAACGGATGGAATACATTAGGCAGTGATGTGGTGGAGGCTGACTCCATACACAGTTTCAAGTGTAGATATGATAGAGCCCAATAGGCTCAGGAACCTGTACACCAGTTGATTGACAGTTGAGAGGCGGGACCAAAGGGCCAGAGCTCAACCCCCGCAAGCACAAGTAGGTGAGTACACAATATACATATATTGTGTGTGCGTGTGTGTGTAATATATTTATTTATTCAGGTGTACTGTACATGCATGACTATGCAACACTGCTCCTGATTGGTGCGTGCAAGATAATCAGAACAGGCGCGCCATTCCCCGGAGAGCAGTGAAAGGAAACACATTATTGTCTCAGTATGCACACGAACCAGTTCTGTTACATTTGTTGAGCTGTTTCAAAGTCGTTAATCCCATCACTGTTTAACACCAGCAGCTTTTCTAACCCACATTCAGAAGCTTGATTCGTAACAATTTGTGCATTTCATTGCAATTATGGCCACAAGAACAGATGTGCAGCAGGCTAGATAAAGCCTAGTAACATTTAGCCTATATTTTGAAAGTGATATTGGAAAAACAATGTGTAGTTTATCATTGGAACATCGATTGGTACAATTATCACAAAACTAGGATGACGGAAAGACAATTTAAAGAATATAAACTAATCATACCATGAAGTTGTACAGAATTTGACACCCTTCAACATCTTAATATCACGTTAAAACAGGTTTCTAATCTGATACTCTGTGTTCATGTACATCATGTTCATGCACATCATGCTTCATGTTCATGAAGCAATCATACCAAAATGTTTAGCGATAAATATCACAACTCATAATCCAGCCAGGACTCATCAACAAGGACCAAATAATCCATACCACTGACATTTCCTCCGTTTATGAATGATAAACAGTTTACACACGACTCAACTGATGACGGATGTACTTTTCTAGTTTTAGTTAAGTTCATTTATTATGCACCCCATACCCATCTTGTGGGCGGTAGTGAAAAGGGTTACAGAGGCACATAATGGGCTCAGGGACTGAACCCCACAATTCATTTAGCTAAGCAAGTTACAATCGTGATGAGCTAGTTACAAAATTCAATATAAGTCGTCACATCAACAATGGGTTCGAGATCGACCACAAGTACAATTTTTCTAGAACAGTGCTTTGATGTCCTCAGCTCGAATCGCGAGTCAATGCTTCACCCACGAATTTCAAATACAAATAATTACCAGCAGAACCTAAACGCCTAACCTAAGCCTATTCATAAAGCTTTAATATACATTAATATTCGATTAACTTATTTTTAATAAGCAGTAGATTCAAACTGCTGAACGTTTTTTGAAAGGTAACTGCTTTAACGAGCCTGGCCTGAAGGCAGGTTGAAATACAAATAAATGCCAACAGAACCTAAATATAATCTAACCTACTACTAGATATGTACAATATGATTATAGTAATATTTTATATTTGAGAAATTTATATTTTGAATAAACGGCATGTAAGCATAGCCGTAAACATTTTTCTCTTGTAATGTATCTTTATCATTTATCAATTCTGATTGAAATTACATACTTAAAATTATCTGCTAGATTAAGGACCTGCCCGAAACGCTGCGCGTACTAGTGGCTTTACAAGACTGTAAATACTGTACTATCCAATGTATTCTCACAAACCCAATGTACCTTCTTGTATATATATATATATATATAAATAAATAAATAAATAAAAACATAGACGATTGTAGCTTTTTTTTTTTTTTGGGGGGGGGGGGGGTGTCGGCCGCTGGCTGGAATGAACATAACCCAAGACCGGGTTAGGGGTCTTGTGTAAACTAAAGCGTTTTCGTTTCATCAACACCTGGTTTGGCGCCTAGATTAACAAGCATTTGGCCACTGTTTATGAGAATGACCTGCTTTAATGAGGATGGACTCGCCTAGTTGTGCTTGCAGGGGTTGAGCTTCAGCTCTTTGGTCCGTGTGTTTATAAAGGATTGTGTATGAGCAAGAGGTGCTTTAATCCCGTCTCCAATGACTGATGAATACCGAACAAGCGGCCAGTCATCAGTACCAACCTTCCCGAACTATTACAATGTAAACAAACAGCTTTCAAAACTGCTTTCCACATATTTCTATTTTTTTTTATACGAAAGTTCTGTGATAGCCAAGAGAGTGAAAGTGAAGCACATACTGTAGAGTGAGATGTTAAGGCTCTCATGCAACCCGTTTTAGCGAGCGTCCCGACGTCAAGAAACTGTCGTACTAAATTGCCTTAATATCCTAACCTACCAGAGGACTAACGAGTAGAAAATAATCGACCTCCCTCCTCCAGAGGAAAGCCTCCAGGGGCTTTCTTACACCCACAACCCACCTCCCCTGCCTCCAGGGGGGCTATGTTACACCCACAACCCACCTCCCCTGCCTCCAAGGGGGGCTATGTTACACCCACAACCCACCTCCCCTGCCTCCAGGGGGGCTATGTTACACCCACAACCCACCTCCCCTGCCTCCAGGGGGGGCTATGTTACACCACAACCCACCTCCCTGCCTCCAGGGGGGCTATGTTACACCACAACCCACCTCCCCTGCCTCCAGGGGCTTTCTTACACCCACAACCCACCTCCCCTGCCTCCAGGGGGGCTATGTTACACCCACAACCCACCTCCCCTGCCTCCAGGGGGGCTATGTTACACCCACAACCCACCTCCCCTGCCTCCAGGGGGGCTATGTTACACCCACCTCCCCTGCCTCCAGGGGGCTATGTTACACCCACCTCCCCTGCCTCCAGGGGCTATGTTACACCACAACCCACCTCCCCTGCCTCCAGGGGGGCTATGTTACACCACAACCCACCTCCCCTGCCTCCAGGGGGGGCTATGTTACACCCACAACCCACCTCCCCTGCCTCCAGGGGGGGGCTATGTTACACCCACAACCCACCTCCCCTGCCTCCAGGGGGGGCTATTTTACACCCACAACCCACCTCCCCTGCCTCCAGGGGGGCTATGTTACACCCCCAACCCACCTCCCCTGCCTCCAGGGGGGCTATGTTACACGCACAACCCACCTCCCCTGCCTCCAGGGGGCTATGTTACACCACAACCCACCTCCCCTGCCTCCAGGGGGGCTATGTTACACCACAACCCACCTCCCCGCCTCCAGGGGGGCTATGTTACACCACAACCCACCTCCCTGCCTCCAGGGGGGGCTATGTTACACCACAACCCACCTCCCCTGCCTCCAGGGGGGCTATGTTACACACAACCCACCTCCCCTGCCTCCAGGGGGGCTATGTTACACCACAACCCACCTCCCCTGCCTCCAGGGGGGGCTATGTTACACCACAACCCACCTCCCCTGCCTCCAGGGGGGCTATGTTACACCACAACCCACCTCCCCTGCCTCCAGGGGGGGCTATGTTACACCACAACCCACCTCCCCTGCCTCCAGGGGGGGCTATGTTACACCACAACCCACCTCCCCTGCCTCCAGGGGGGGCTATGTTACACCACAACCCACCTCCCCTGCCTCCAGGGGGGGCTATGTTACACCACAACCCACCTCCCCTGCCTCCAGGGGCTTTCTTACACCCACAACCCACCTCCCCTGCCTCCAGGGGGCTATGTTACACCACAACCCACCTCCCCTGCCTCCAGGGGGGGCTATGTTACACCACAACCCACCTCCCCTGCCTCCAGGGGGGGCTATGTTACACCACAACCCACCTCCCTTGCCTCCAGGGGCTTTCTTACACCCACAACCCACCTCCCCTGCCTCCAGGGGGGCTATGTTACACCCCCAACCCACTTCCCCTGCCTCCAGGGGGGGGCTATGTTACACCACAACCCACCTCCCCTGCCTCCAGGGGGGCTATGTTACACCACAACCCACCTCCCCTGCCTCCAGGGGGGCTATGTTACACCACAACCCACCTCCCCTGCCTCCAGGGGGGCTATGTTACACCACAACCCACCTCCCCTGCCTCCAGGGGGGGCTATGTTACACCACAACCCACCTCCCCTGCCTCCAGGGGCTTTCTTACACCCACAACCCACCTCCCCTGCCTCCAGGGGGGGGCTATGTTACACCCACAACCCACCTCCCCTGCCTCCAGGGGCTTTCTTACACCCACAACCCACCTCCCCTGCCTCCAGGGGGGCTATGTTACACCACAACCCACCTCCCCTGCCTCCAGGGGGGGCTATGTTACACCCACAACCCACCTCCCCTGCCTCCAGGGGGGGCTATGTTACACCCACAACCCACCTCCCCTGCCTCCAGGGGGGGCTATGTTACACCACAACCCACCTCCCCTGCCTCCAGGGGCTTTCTTACACCCACAACCCACCTCCCCTGCCTCCAGGGGGGGCTATGTTACACCCACAACCCACCTCCCCTGCCTCCAGGGGGGCTATGTTACACCACAACCCACCTCCCCTGCCTCCAGGGGGGGCTATGTTACACCCACAACCCACCTCCCCTGCCTCCAGGGGGGGCTATGTTACACCCACACCCACCTCCCCTGCCTCCAGGGGGGCTATGTTACACCACAACCCACCTCCCCTGCCTCCAGGGGCTTTCTTACACCCACAACCCACCTCCCCTGCCTCCAGGGGGGGCTATGTTACACCCACAACCCACCTCCCCTGCCTCCAGGGGGGGCTATGTTACACCCACAACCCACCTCCCCTGCCTCCAGGGGGGCTATGTTACACCCACAACCCACCTCCCCTGCCTCCAGGGGGCTATGTTACACCCACAACCCACCTCCCCTGCCTCCAGGGGGGGCTATGTTACACCCACAACCCACCTCCCCTGCCTCCAGAGGGGGCTATTTTACACCCACAACCCACCTCCCCTGCCTCCAGGGGGGGCTATTTTACACCCACAACCCACCTCCCCTGCCTCCAGGGGGCTATGTTACACCACAACCCACCTCCCCTGCCTCCAGGGGCTATGTTACACCACAACCCACCTCCCCTGCCTCCAGGGGGCTATGTTACACCACAACCCACCTCCCCTGCCTCCAGGGGGCTTTGTTACACCCCCAACCCACCTCCCCTGCCTCCAGAGGGCTTTATTACACCCACAACCCACCTCCCCTGCCTCCAGGGGGCTTTGTTACACCCCCAACCCACCTCCCCTGCCTCCAGGGGCTTTGATACACCCCCAACCCACCTCCCCTGCCTCCAGGGGGCTTTGTTACACCCCAACCCACCTCCCCTGCCTCCAGGGGGCTTTGTTACACCCCCAACCCACCTCCCCTGCCTCCAGGGGGGCTATGTTACACCCCCAACCCACCTCCCCTGCCTCCAGGGGGGGCTATGTTACACCCCCAACCCACCTCCCCTGCCTCCAGGGGGGCTATGTTACACCCACAACCCACCTCCCCTGCCTCCAGGGGGGCTATGTTACACCCCCAACCCACCACCCCTGCCTCCAGGGGGGGGCTATGTTACACCCCCAACCCACCTCCCCTGCCTCCAGGGGGCTATGTTACACCCACCTCCCCTGCCTCCAGGGGGCTTTGTTACACCCCCAACCCACCTCCCCTGCCTCCAGAGGGCTTTATTACACCCACAACCCACCTCCCCTGCCTCCAGGGGGCTTTGTTACACCCCCAACCCACCTCCCCTGCCTCCAGGGGGCTTTGTTACACCCACAACCCACCTCCCCTGCCTCCAGGGGGCTTTGATACACCCCCAACCCACCTCCCCTGCCTCCAGGGGGCTTTGTTACACCCCCAACCCACCTCCCCTGCCTCCAGGGAACTTTGTTACACCCCCAACCCACCTCCCCTGCCTCCAGGGGGGCTATGTTACACCCCCAACCCACCTCCCCTGCCTCCAGGGGGGCTATGTTACACCCCCAACCCACCTCCCCTGCCTCCAGGGGGCTATGTTACACCCCCAACCCACCTCCCCTGCCTCCAAGGGGGGCTATGTTACACCCACAACCCACCTCCCCTGCCTCCAGGGGGGGGGCTATTTTACACCCCCAACCCACCACCCCTGCCTCCAGGGGGGGGCTATTTTACACCCCCAACCCACCTCCCCTGCCTCCAAGGGGGGCTATGTTACACCCACAACCCACCTCCCCTGCCTCCAGGGGGGGGGGGCTATTTTACACCCCCAACCCACCTCCCCTGCCTCCAGGGGGCTATGTTACACCCCCAACCCACCTCCCCTGCCTCCAGGGGCTATGTTACACCCCCTACCCACCCTCCAGGGGGCGAGCTTGTCTCTTGAATGTAATTATATTCTTCAGTACGGCAACGTTGTCTCCCACTCTGTAAACACTGAGGAACCCAGTTGACAAACTTGCTAAATGCTCGTGTAATGAATTACAAAGTACCTCTCATTAAAGGAAGTAATTACAGTAACACCCTAGACAGAAGAGCGGACCGTTACATTCACTTCATTGTAGCCTGACAACTTTCCTGGAAGGTCAGAGATGTAGCTGTCATGATCTACCTTCCCTGACCTGGTCCAGACAAGCCTTTCACCACCTTAAGAACGTTCGAATTAAGTTGCTGATGGCCTATTGGTCCATGTGAGGCAGCGACTATTGGTCCATACTAGGCAGCGACTATTGGTCCATACGAGGCTGCTCCTATTGACCCATACGAGGCTGCTCCTATTGACCCATACGAGGCTGCTCCTATTGACCCATACGAGGCAGCTCCTATTGACCCATACGAGGCAGCTCCTATTGACCCATACGAGGCTGCTCCTATTGACCCATACTCATTTATATTCACCTAAACCCATTCATCTATATGTCTAACCAACACCTGAAATAATCCAGCGATCTCACTTCAAGAAATATATAAACAAATCACGCAGTACCAGTAACTTTTTCGGGGAAACTTATGAAAATTAAACTCGCTACTAAAATATACATTGTGTACCCACGCGAGGCTTTAAACATTCCTCGAGCACCACTAAGATATCGAAAGGATATCAACCCCTCCCCCTTCACCCATATCAAATACGATACAATCCGCTGTAACATTTAACCTAAGAATAGCCTAAGCTACTCTAACTATCTTAAGAATACTAAGACTACAATAGCCTAAGCTACTCTAACTAACAACTTAAGAATAGCCTAAGCTACTCTAACTAACAACTTAAGAATAGCCTAAGCTACTCTAACTAACAACTTAAGAATAGCCTAAGCTACTCTAACTAACAACTTAAGAATAGCCTAAGCTACTCTATCCCTTTCAGATGTATTTTAATGTCGCAATACAATTACTATAACTTCCAAGCTTGTATGATATCTTTCTTTGGCGTCTCTTGCCAAAATTTAACTTAAGAGAATGTAAGTTAAGTTCTCGTAGCCAGTCTTTGTAAAGTTCCTAATAATAGGGGTTAACTTTGTTATTTTAAGCTGAATGTTATAGCGAAAATTTATGTCCAGTCTGACATGATGAGCAAATGTTAATATGATCCGCTTGAGGCATTGCTAGTGCAAGGTGTAATTACACTTTTAACAGTGTATCAATGACTTTATTATGGGGACCTGGGACCAGATTTACGAAGCAGTTACGCAAGCACTTACGAACCTGTCCATCTTCTCTCACTATTTGGCGGCTTTGTTTACAATTATTAAACAGTTAATGAGCTCCGAAGCACCAGGAGGCTTGCCAAACAACAACAGTTGATTGGCAAGTTTTCATGCTTGTAAACTGTTTAATAAATGTAACCAAAGCCGTCAAAGATTGAGTAAAGATGTACACGTTCGTAAGTGCTTGCGTAACTGCTTCGTGAATCTGGCCATACCTGGACGGACTGAAACGTATTATTTTCATATAGGATATTTGGCCTCCGTCAAAACGTTGCCACCTCCTCCCCCACATGGTGAACTTGACAATTACGACACGTGAAGACACCCGCTCAACTTGACACATCAGCAGCATCAGGCTCCAAAACCATTCATTAAATTTCCACAAAAACAAAAACCCATACCGTATCAAGTCGCGAGGTGTTGACAGGAGGGCCCAGTCACCCCCACACCGGTCCATGACAAAGGTGTACACTCAGCAACTTTCCCACTGAAAGTGTAAAGATGAATCGAAATTAGAATTGAATAATGAATCAAAAAAGTAAAGACAGGTCAACAATGTTTAGGGTCAATAGGAACAGGTGTGTGAAGCTCTCGCCAAATAATTATGCAGGTCTTGAGGTGATTGGCTCATAGAGAAGGCATATCAAGGCCACGATAGCCATTGGGCGTGGTCTGGGCTACTCGGGTTCCTGTCACACTGAAGGTGTCAAGGGTTCTCTCTCTCTACATGCAAAAATCTATATATAAATATACCAGCTCTACCCGGTCACAGCAACCCTTCCCCTGTTCCCCCGTCCTCCCCACCATTTCCCACTCCCACGTCCCCCCCCAAAAAAATTCCCCACTCCCACGTCCCCCCCCAAAAAAATTCCCCACTCCCACGTCCCCCCCCAAAAAAATTCCCCACTCCCACGTCCCCCCCAAAAAAAATTCCCCACTCCCACGTCCCCCCCAAAAAAAATTCCCCACTCCCACGTCCCCCCCAAAAAAAATTCCCCACTCCCACGTCCCCCCCCAAAAAAATTCCCCACTCCCACGTCCCCCCCCAAAAAAATTCCCCACTCCCACGTCCCCCCCCCAAAAAAATTCCCCACTCCCACGTCCCCCCCAAAAAAATTCCCCACTCCCACGTCCCCCCAAAAAAAAATTCCCCACTCCCACGTCCCCCCCAAAAAATTCCCCACTCCCACGTCCCCCCCAAAAAAATTCCCCACTCCCACGTCCCCCCCAAAAAAAATTCCCCACTCCCACGTCCCCCCCAAAAAAAAATCCCCACTCCCACGTCCCCCCCCCCAAAAAAAATTCCCCACTCCCTCGGCTGATGCTTTCCTAAATGATCTCATGTTCCCATCAGAAAAATGGGAACATCAAATGATTTTGTTACACGAAAAATAAGAAGTTAAAAAAAATGAAAAAAAAAAAAAAAAAAAACAAAAATAAAACTATACTCACAAAATGAACGGTAAGGTAAACAACACAGTTCAATTCCAATGCAATGTCACACAAATTAATTAAATCAAAATGAAAATAAATCGAAATCTATCTAAATTCAATTTATCGGTGCAATCAGAAACATTGAAATGGAATCCTAACATATTTAGTATAGCGTGTGTTACTTTTACGTGTAACACGTAAAAGCGATGGCGCTGTTTAAAAAAAAAAAAAAACATGGTTTTTACCTGTCACAGGTGTGGCATCTATATAGTAGGTATATACTATTATTAAGGTATGTTCACAAAAAGTAAATAGTGAACATTAAAATATCCACGTGTAACAATTTTATCCGGAAACATTAAATACAAGCTCCTACAGTGACTATTCTACTAACCAGATATTCAATAAAGCACATTAATTTGGAAATTTAAAGGAAAAGGCCCACATGTCCCAGCAATACGGAAATAGGTTTACTGATAAAGTGAGACAGCAAAACTAACTAACTTAGATGCAATTGTAAAATTTCATGCAAGTATTTGATGGTCCCTATTCCGTAAAATCGACTTGAGAATGGTCCAGGACGGACCGAAACGTCGTCGTCCCTTCACCTTCTAGTGTGTGGTCTGGTCAACATACTCCAGCCACGTTATTGTGACTTATCGCCTGGTTATTGACCCAATCGACTTGAGAATGGTCCAGGACGGACCGAAACGTCGTCGTCCCTTCACCTTCTAGTGTGTGGTCTGGTCAACATACTTTAGCCACGTTATAATTTATAATCACAAGCTATACGTCCTCTGTTAAGTTAAATATAATGTTCTATATTAGTAAATATGATGTATGTAGAACATAATGTTTACTCTGTAAATATAATAGAAATAATTATAATCCAATATTCTCAGAATATTCTGCCCATATTCTATGGAATATAAATAGGGAATTCATAACGATTCAAGAACACCCAGTTATAAGGGTTACTACAGTCCGTCCTCTTAAGCTCCCCGAACGTCAAGAAACAGTCGTACTAACGTGCCTTTATCCTAACCTACCAGAGGACCTAAAACAGAAAACGGGACATTATGTCAATTCCGCCAGCCGCTTCTATTTTATACTACGATAATTTTTGGCCTTAGTGACGCACAGTATTCTAAGAGGACAGGTTGTTGAACTATGTTTAGTGGGAGATTGTTGAAAAGTACTGGGGCCAGATTCACGAAGCAGTTACGCAAGCACTTAGGAACCTGGGGCCAGATTCACGAAGCAGTTATGCAAGCACTTAGGAACCTGGGGCCAGATTCACGAAGCAGTTACGCATACTGCTTGTTTCCGCCATCGCAGGGGGATTGATCCCCAGCCACAGGACTACGAATCCAGAGCGCTGACCACACAGCCACAGGCCCCCCTGTGTGTGTAGGCTACACACACACACACATACAATGTGTGTGTGTACTCACCTATTTATGCTTGCGGGGGTTAAGCTTTGGCTCTTTGGTCCCGCCTCTCAACTGTCAATCAACTGTGTGTGGGGGGGGAGTCCACCATACACTAATGACCCGTCTTAAGATGACCCGTCACTAAATGACTGACAGCTGCAACTATTACGACCAGGAAAGGAATTCTGCAGAAGGCTGGTGTCAGGGCGTCGTATGTCAGGAGAAAGTTGCTCCCTAAGAAGCGCAAGGTGTTCCTCAAGTGGGCCATCTTGGGTGAACAGGGTGGGAGGGTGATTGGGGGGGGGGGGGATACAATGGACATTATGTCCATTACCTCCAATGGACATGGAGGTAATTTTGATATATTTTGGGGATTAGATATGTATTCTCGCAAAGTTGCTGTCACGTTTGGCCTATTGGGTCAAAACCTGGATGAAATGGGCTCCAAACTTGACCCCTAAAACTGCCGTCAGAACCCGGTGGAAGTGTTTGACCTCAAGATTGACTCGAGGTCAAAGGCTAACCTTGAAGGAAAAGAACCCTACAGGTTAAAACCTAGAAGAAATTGACATCGAGGCTGACCTGAAGTCAAAGATCAAACCTGAATGAAGTCAAACTCCAAGCCTAGCCTTCAGTCATAGGGCAATAGAGTCCATTGAAAGAAAGGTTAAACCACAAATGACACCAAGAAAGGTTATTAAACCACAAATGATACCAAGAAAGGTTATTAAACCACAAATGACACCAAGAAAGGTTATTAAACCACAAATGATACCAAGAAAGGTTATTAAACCACAAATAACACCAAGAAAGGTTATTAAACCACAAATGATACCAAGAAAGGTTATTAAACCACAAATAACACCAAGAAAGGTTATTAAACCACAAATAACACCAAGAAAGGCTATTAAACCACAAATGACACCAAGAAAGGCTATTAAACCACAAATGACACCAAGAAAGGTTATTAAACCACAAATGACACTAAGAAAGGTTATTAAACCACAAATGATACCAAGAAAGGTTATTAAACCACAAATGACACCAAGAAAGGTTATTAAACCACAAATGACACCAAGAAAGGTTATTAAATCACAAATAACACCAATAAATGTATTCAGCGCACGAACAAGACACACTAATATAAAAGGATCGAACTCAAAATAATTAGAACTGAGGGACGTGATAAACAACAAGTTGGATGCAATAGGAATACCAGAAACTAAACTAAAAAAAATAATAATATAGAAGCACTTGGGAAGAAATTAAGCAATATGAAGATAACACGGTTCCGTTGGGATTATTACCTCACCATACGCAATATCCTAGATAATAGTATTTCATTCACTCGGTGTGTTGAGGATTCGAACCCGGGTCTCAAAAATATGCCCCTGGGGAATATTACCTCACCAGATATACTGCAGTGAACTCAGAGGAAAGTTAACTGGTTAGGAAATACATTTTTTTCCCCATCACCAAACCTCATGCTGCTAAAATAAATAATAATAATAAGTACAGACACCTGACAGAACATGTCGACAAGTAGCCAATATAAAGATAATTGCTCACATCACCAATTTATTATATATATATAAAAAGACTTGTACGTTAAATATTGCAAAATGTGCAGATTCATTTTTTGCTTCACTGCGGCCTGCTTCATTGATGTCATTCACGTGAATAATTGAAGCCTTAAACTTGGGTTTAAAAATACAACATCCTCACCCTGCCATCAAGACATCAACACAGAGTAAACTCATCGTATACTTGAGTATATCTTAGTTCACAGTTTACCAATTGCGGTTGTGTTTTGTTTTAAGGCAAATACCAGATCACACGGAACACTTCTGACCACGCTGTTGATTGTAAACTTTCATATCATTGTTGATGTGGCGAGTGATTGTGCAGGCGTTGGAGCGTGTAGTATTGTGGTGTGTCTCCCCTCTCACTGTGTTGGTGTGGTCCCCCCCTCTCAATCATCCACTACGGGCTCACCATAGCCCGTGCTACTTGGAACATTTCTGTTCCAGGTAGCGAATCTTTAACAAGTGGAGGCCTGGTCGAGGACCGGGCTGCGGGGACACTAAAGCCCCGAAATCATCTCAAGATAACCATCTCAAGATAACCATCTCAAGATAACAACCACCCCCTCTCACTGTGTTGGTGTGGAGGGCGGCGGGTGGAGGTAGTGGAAGGAACATAAAATTAATAGCCGTTCTTACTGCGCCTGAAACACTTCGCTGGAAAAGCCGAGTTCCTTGCCCACACGGCGGGCCAGTGAGGCGTCGTGGTCCAGCGGGCCAGGGAGGGGTACGTGGACCGGCGGGCCAGGGAGAGGTACATGGGCCAGCGGGCCAGCGCCAGAATGGTCCACCCCTGAACCAATTGAGGGCAGTAGAACGCACAGGAAAAAATCTCTCAGTTTGGGTTAAGTAGAACTGGTTTTTAAGGATGCTATACCCATGGGGCAAGAGAGAGAGGGGGGGGGGGGACAGGTCTTGACGTATGCACGCGTGTGTAAACTGATTGTTGTGTATAGCCTCCCGCACGCACGCACACAATGGCAGTTCCTGTTGACCGGACCACACACTAGAAATTGAAGGGACGACGACGTTTCGGT